TACTCCAGTCTTCAGTGTCACATGATCTTCAGAAATCACTCTAATATGCTGATTTGCTGCTTAAGAAATATTTATTATTATTATTATTAATGTTGAAAAAAAAGTTTGTGTTGCTTAGTATTTTTGTGAAAACAGTGATACAGTTAGGATTCTCCATCTAGAAAATTTAAAAGAACAGTATATATTTGAAATCTTTTGTAGCAATATTAATTTCTTTACTGTCAATTTTAAGCAATTTAATGCATCCTTGCTGAATAAAAGTATTATTTCATTTCAAAAGATATACATATATATGTGTGTGTGTGACAGAGTGAGTGTGTGAGTGAGTGAGTGTGTGTGTGTGTGTGTGTGTGTAATTCTTCACAGCTTGTGCTGTTGTCAAACATCACAGGAAAGCGATCATGCCACGGAACTATATTCGTAAAACGGACTGGGGATCAGTGACCTATGAGGAGCTGGAGAAAGCGTTCGTCGAAGTGAAGCGTGGGAAATCTATCAGAACAGTGGCAAAAGAAAGAAAGATCGGCAGATCCACCCTGCAGCGCTACATGAAGAAGGCAGAAGAAAAAAGAGAGAAAAGCGTCGGCTACAGAGGAACGGCTGAAGCCAGGAGGATCTTGTCTGAGGAGTTAGAGGAGGAGCTCGCAGAAAACATCCGCATGCTGGCTGAAGGCGTGCACGGCCTCACGCCAAAGAGATGCAGAGAAATCGCTTTTGAATTTGCACAGAAGAACAACATTCCCGTCCCCAACAACTGGGGAGAGCAGAGGTTAGCAGGTAGGTTTTGTGGTGACACTTTAATTCAGTAATTCAGCTGACAGTGTTGCTAACTTGATTTTTTAAATTCCTGTAGGTCGAGATTGGCTCAGTAGTTTCATAGCCCGCCACAATCTCTACGGCCACATAACTGAAGCAGCATCTTTGGGAAGCTACGGACAGGTGACAGAGCTCCTGAATCAATAACTATTGACTTGATTAGCGATCAGAATCAGCTGTAATGGAAATGCACTGGTCAAAATGTGTGGGGGATTTAGAGCTGACATATTTACGGTTCTGCATTTTCTAGATCATCAGTTTCAGTCTCATCAACCAGGACGAAATCAAGAAAGAAATCAAAGAGGAGCGTGATGTTCCTGTCCCGATTCATCACGCTTCAGAGGAGGACAGCGCTCAGATTTGTGATTCAGACCGAGACCTGTTAGATACTGACTTATTTCTGACATGATGTTATATGATGAAGCACAACGTAAACAAAAATAAATTTTGATGCTTAATCGTGTTTCCTGTTAGTTTAGGAATATCTTTAACAAAAGAAGTACTGAGGTCACACATTATTATTAAAAATTCTGTTCATGCTGTTACTTATATAAATAATCATGTTTTTTTTTTCTCAAGATAATGCAACAAAATTGCTTCAGTTAAAATGTGTATTCATGTATGTATTTATTTATTTGTATATTCCCGTAGCTTAACTAGTAGAGCATGGCACTTGCAACGCCAAGGTTATGGATAAACCTTCAACCCCAAAACAAAACAAAACAAACCCCAAATCTGTTTTATATCTAAGGGGAAAAACCTTTCAAAAGTTATACTGTACATAAAATTGTGTTAGAAGATATTAAATATGGTGTTTTCAGAAAGTATTCAGACCCCTTCATTTTATCACAATTTATATTTTTTCACATAACTACGTTTTATACTCGCATCAGAAACCAGGTTTATTATAACCAGATCCAAAACAGTTCTAAACAAATACATTGTTGAGTTTTGATATGAGAGAACAACGGGATTATGAATTATGGAGTCGTATTTTGACCAGAAGCCACAGTCTAAAGTTAAAATGCCTTGTATTCGTTTAAAGGGGTCATATGATGCGATTTCAAGTTTTCCTTTCTCTTTGGAGTGTTACAAGCTGTTCGCTTCGTCATGCCTAGAGCTGATCCGTGCTGGTCGCTGAGGAAATACTTCAACTTTGCTGTAGATCGCCGGATCGGCTTTCACCGTGGACGAAGCGGAGTCCAGCCTGGGGTCATCACATGTTGTTGCCGCAAGCAACACAGTATGGTGAGGGGCGTAACATTTCCGTCTCACGCTTGAGGTATTCAGCCAATCACAACACACTGGATAGCTGGCCAATCAGAACACACCTTGCTTTTCAGACCGATGAGCTTTGTAAAAATCGACGCGTTTCAGAAAGGCGGGGCATAGAGGAGAAACAATAATGTACAGTATGTGGAAAATTATGTGTTTTTTGAACCTTAAACCGCATAAACACATTTCATTACACCAAATACACAAAATAATGTTCTTCTTAGCAACATCATATGACCCCTTTTACAAACACGCAGCTTTTGTCTTCTCAATATATTAACTGATGGTCTGGAGAGGTGTGGATTACTTGTGGATTATTGTGATGTTTTTATCAGCTGTTTGGACTCTCATTCTGACGGCACCCATTCACTGCAGAGCATCCATTGCTGAGACACTGATGCAATGCTACATTTCTACAAATCTGATGAAGAAACAAACTCATCTACATCTGGGATGGTCTGAGGCTAGTGAATTTTCCTGTTTGGGTGAACTATTCCTTTAACGATTCAGATCAATTTTGGGAAATAATGGGTTAAATTCGAATTCATCATTATTAATTTGACTCCAACAGCATTGTGGTAGGCCTTTCTGGAAACAGAGAGCATGGGGGTTGTATTATCATGTTGTATTGTCCTGTATTGACGCATAGGCGGCGCTGTTTCTCTGTTTGTTGTCCACACAGTGGGAGTGTTCCGTCTCATTCGAGGGGTTTCCTTCCCTTCTACAGCGCTGCTGCTGTCATTCACAACCAGAAGAGACACAAAGGAAGATCATAGATGAAGGTGTAAAGCTTAAAGCTGGTAAATGTGCGTTTATTCCGGCGGAGGCTCGTCTGATCTGATGCCTGGCGCAGGTGCATCATTCCCCGCATTGATCAGCTGAGCTCGGAGATCAGCATCAGCATCAGGCGGTAAGACAGCTCTTCATATATATATACACCATTCATCGGAATACAGCTGCTCGCATTAATGAACTTCATGATACGTCTCAGTAAACTCTTGTATTTGCCTAATCAGTCCGAATATGTAGAAACCACTTTTTCATGTAAATTTAGTTTTTTTTCTTTTCTTTTGAATAATAGTAACTGGTTTCATAAGATGGTAATGCAGCAGATTTTTCAGAATCTTTGAAGGATTGGGGCTTTTAATAGCCTGCACTATCCTACAAGGTGATATATAAAGACATAACGTCAGTGTTTAGTGTATCTTCAGCGACACAGAGAGCTGTTTTCTGCTCTATAGTGGGCTGCACAGGCGAATGCCGGGAACATCGTGATTTATAGAGTCACAGTGCATTCTGGAACGAGACACAGACTCACAGAAATGCTGTGCAAACTGTTGAATACCAGCACATTTTGTATTAATGCGCAAAAGGGTTGTTGCTCGGCAACCATAAACAACCAATAATTGATATATGACTTGGAAGAATTATTATTAGCCTAATACTTATTTACTGATGTGTTACTATTCATTAATTAAATTATACATTGAACATTGGTGTTTTATATCATATTGTGATTTTTTATTTTATTTTTATTTGATCTTGTACCCAGCTTTGCATATGACTTATTTTACCCATCTATTTGACCACATGATTTTTAATCAAAATCGTGATTTAACAGACTTCTCTCTGATTATTAATTCTGGTTTGTTACAGAGAACTGCTACGATTACAAATGGCTATGGGCAGGGTGATTATTGTTAGCTAAAACTAAAACCAGGAAAAAATGTTACAAGAAACAAAATAAACATCAACTAATATCAAATAAAATATAAGATAATACACATTTTATTTCAGCTAGCTGCCAACATTTCTCATTTTTGTTTAGTTTAATTTGAAGTACTAAAATAATAAAAAACAAATGAATAAAATGATATAAACGTTTGTATTTTAAAAATAAAAATGACCAAAAAAACGCATAACAAAATTACAAAAAACTTAACTAAAATTAAAGTGAAAAGTAAAAATGAAAAAATAAAATCTAATTCAAAATATTAACAAAAACGATACAATAGTGCTGTCAAACGATTAATCGCGATTAATCGCATCCAAAATATAAGTTTTTGTTTACATAATATATGTGTGTGTGCTGTGTATATTTATTATGTATATATAAATACACACACATACAGCATATATTTTGAAAATATTTACATGTATATATTTATTTTCATATAATTTATATCATATATAAATATATCTAATATATAAACGTTACATATTTTTCTTAAATATATACATGCATGTCTGTGTATTTATATATACATTACAAATATACACAGTACACACACACACACATATTATATAAACACAAACTTTTATTTTAAACGTTTGACAGCACTACTATACAATGTGCTTTCCTCATGACACTGTAACTACACATCTGACTGCAAACACCATCGTTCTCCACTGATGACTGTCCAAAAATGTCTGTGTATTGTGATAATGATTTTTTGCATACGTTTAAATATGATATAAATAGCAGTCAGAGACAGGATAGTTTCTGCACACTGCAGATGAAGATGTAGGTCAGGCCTGTCTGTCTGTGATGCAGTTTGCAGAACACAGAACTGAATTGTACAAAATCTAAATCATGCTGCTGCCTCCTGATCTCCTCAGACTGCAGCGTGCATACATATTAATGCTGTGGTATTATGTTGATATTTCAGATTGCAGATCTGTTTTCTAGGATTACTTTTTGAATAAACATATTAATAACGAATAGCAATTTTACATGTAATAATTGAGATTTTATGAGCTCACAGGCTAAAACGGACTATTTTATGAGAGTCAATTTAGACAGTAGAACCACATGATTAATAAATTAATGCAAAACTCAACTGAGAGCTTAAGTTGTACACTGATGGACTGCTAGTAAAAGTAAAAGTAGTAGTCTTGAATTATTAGTGAATGAAAGAATGAAAAAACATCACCTCCAATTAAAATATCACTGCTGTTTTAAAGAGAGGTCTTATGCTGCCTTCACATGCTATTGGAAACTTCCTACTTCTTTACGAGTTTGTCATGTTCAAGTGCTTTGTTGTTGGAAAGAACAGACATCATGGTGGACAGCCTATTCATTCTTGCCTGTTTCTTGTGGAAATTTTATTAAAACCAAAAGGTATAGATTAGAAGATATTTAGTCAAAATCCAACAGGTTTTGAATAAAATTGGTAACAATATAAACATTCACAGCACTATCTAGATATTCAGCTGGCTGACGTTTCCTAAATTTCAGTCAAATAAATGCTGTTTTCGCTGTGTTCAATACATACAATATGCTTTAAATGGTTATTTATATATGTAAATATATAAGACTGTAATGGCAGGAGAACGGAATGTAGATGTAGATGAGAAAAACAAATAAAATTTTACAGTATGCCGCTATGTTTCTCTCCTCCGCCATATTTAGAGATTCCCAGTTGTATAAATACCCGTTCATGTCCAACTTTCATTTTTACCATCATAAAAATCATTGACCACAACTGTCAATTTCTTTTGTGAAACTAAGTAGCAAAATGTAGCTCTTTAAGTCAAGCATGCATTCTTTTAGTGCAAACCTTCAAGACCCTCCAGAGGTCTGCTATTTGAGAAAACAACATAAAATAACACAAAGCAAAGAAAAACTAAACAACATGCAGTAAAACAACACAAAGCACAAAAAAGCAAAACAACAAAACACAAAGCAAAAAACAAAGCACAGAAAAACAAAACACAGGAAAGCAAAACAAAAACATAAAACAACACAAAGCAAAGAAAAACAAACAAAAACATTAAACAACAAACAAAATGCAAGACAAACAAAAAGCAACAAAATGTAACAAAAATTTAAATGACTGGTTTTGTTGTGTTTAACAAATTTTATTTTTCCAGTGTAACCAAATAGTTTGCTCATATATATCATTTTAAAAAATGTATTTATTTTGCTTTGTTTGTGTACTGTTGATAATTTTCTCATTTTGTAGAAGAATGTGACTTAATAGGTTTTGACTGAGAACTGGCATGGTATATGGTTTTTTGTGTGACATGCCTCATCCAAAAATGATCCAGACTACATTAAATATTTTTTCACTTGCATTTTGTTGAATCAAGAAGTTTAATTAAAACAAACAAACAAACCCTTTTTAGAACAAAAAAAAAAAGTGTAAAAAAACTGGAAAATGCTTTTAAAGAACATGACTCCTGGACTGTTGTACATCTACCAGTCAGTCAGATAACAGTAGCCTCAGGCTTGTTTGATGGCTGCTGCGTTTGCATTCATTCCTTTAAGTGCTTATTGTCAGATCAACAGATCAGAATGTAAAGTCACCATGTTTTTTGTAATCTTCCCTTTGGTCACAGTGCAGCGTGGGAGGCAGGATCGTCTTTGCCCTGCGGCGTGACATGCGAGACATGCAGTCAGGAAAGTAGTTTAGTCAGCAGAC